TGTTCATATATTAAGAATAAGATATTGTGAAATTATTACCGCCTATAGGTATGACTTGTATATACAATAGGTATATTCTTCCAACAAGGCTATATGACGGCAAAATGGTTTCTAAATTACGAATGATTCGTCTTGATAAAGGGATTGTGGGTAAATTACCATTTTATGGCGATCAATGCTTGAAAAGTTTTGTATAAAGTAATCTGTATATTTTTGTATTATTTTTTATAACCGTTGATCACTATTCAACAATCGATGTTAGTCGAAAATTGCCTAGGTAAGCTACCAACACACCTTAAATCTAGTATTGTATGATTTCATTTTTCTGCGGAGGCGGAAGTAAGAGGCTGTACGCAGCAGTTTTCTTAGTAATGGTATTATATATGTAGTGATGATGACCTAGCACAATATCTGTAATTCATTGGCCAATGAATTATGATAGCACTGACGCGATGAAAATCCTCTAAACTGTTTCTAAGCGGTATACATTGCATGTATAATTTGAAATGTTTATCACAGCACTGTAAGCATTATTTCTAATGTCATTCAATAAAAGGTTTCAATTAAAACAGAGAGGTATGTAGGTGATTGGAAAGTTTCATTCGAGATGAATTGCAACACTCACTGATCACTACGTCAGCTGTTATGAAAAAGTCGAGGGCATTTCCAATTTCAGATTTTTTTTTTCACAGAACGGAAATGAGAAAGCTGTTTTCTATCAACATTTATCTATAATGCTTTGTGACAATTGTCGAGGCTTACACAATACTGTAGGAAATCCCGCTTATCACAAGAGACCGTAATTACAATTTTCACGTGTTATGCGTAATCACAAACACTTAAACAAAATGTGTGCTTCGTGAAAAATTTTTTTTTATATACCATGTTTATGATTTTTTAAAAGCTTTTTTCCAAACGTGCCAATATTTGTAAACTATAAGTTAAAACATACTATCGCTTTTAAAACAAAAGGCCTGGGCATAAACTGCTGTAAACTTTTCTCTTACTTGTTACCGGAACAAGCATTTAGTCTTCAATTACTAGAACTCCATAGGAAATGTCAATACTTACCAGGAACACAGTAATGATTCCTCGAAGGATGAAATATGATAATGTCACAGAATCCGGCAGAATTTCAAGGGCCCTCTCGTGCGACAAAACAAGTGTTAGCTTTAGTTGTTAGTTAGCAGAGCGATGTGTTGAGTACATACCACTTCAACTTTATATTCAGTATATAACATGGTGATGATGTAAGTCAGCAGTAGGAATACAGATTAGATCAGATAGACAATACTAGTATCATCTACAAGTTTTATTCTTTAAGGTGCCATATGTAAGTTTTATTTTGAAGGTATGGCTAGGTATCGCGCACCTGTTATTAGTGTAGACACAAGTATCACGCGCCAGTTATTCGTGTAGATACAGATACAGGTATCGCGCAACAGTTATTTATGTAGATACAGATACAGGTATCACGCGCCAGTTATTCATGTAGATAGATGTAGATAGATACAAGTATCACGCGACAGCTATTCATGTAGAAAGATACAAGTACCACGCGACAGTTATTCGTGTAGATAGATACAAGTATCACGCGACAGTTATTCGTGTAGATAGATACAAGTATCACGCGACAGTTATTCGTGTAGATACAGATACAGGTATCACGCGCCAGTTATTCATGCAGAAAGATACAAGTACCACGCGCTAGTTATTCATGTAGATAGATACAAGTATCACGCGACAGTTATTCGTGTAGATAGATACAAGTATCACGCGACAGTTATTCGTGTAGATAGATACAAGTATCACGCACCAGTTATTCATGTAGAAAGATACAAGTACCACGCGCTAGTTATTCATGTAGATACAGATACAGGTACCACAAGGTAATTATTCGTGTAGAAAGATACAAGTATCACGCGCTAGCTATTCGTGTAGATAGATACAAGTATCACGCGCTAGTTATTCGTGTAGATAGATACAAGTATCACGCGCCAGTTATTCATGCAGATACAGATACAAGTACCACGCGCTAGTTATTCATGTAGATACAGATACAGGTACCACGCGCTAGTTATTCGTGTAGATAGATACGAGTATCACGCGCTAGTTATTCGTGTAAATAGATACGAGTATCACGCGCCAGTTATTTCTGTATGTACAGTATTACACGTCTGTTTATTCTTTAAAATACACGTAACAAGCGCCAGTTTATTCCTGTTCATACTAGTATTATTTATTTTTTGCGCCTTTAGGTACGGTATTATGATATAAAGATATCACGCGCCAGTTATTCCAGTTTTCTAACCTTTTCTTTAATTAAGAGGTGTCATTACTTTCCTTAGCACACATATCACGCCTTTAAATTGTGTTAAAATAAACATTTACAAACGAATCGTTGCGGTTTTTATGCTCTCATATAATATCTGATAGATACTGTGTGTTAATACATTGTCTTACATCAGGTCATTAAAAGAGAAAGAAAATCTTGTTGTATCCTATCCTATGAAATTCAATATAACGTTATATAATATTCAACCTTACTGCAGCTAAAACACATTTTTCCACATGCTGGGTCGCTATCAGCGCCATCATCTAACGCATTGGGTATGATAGCCATTCAAAATGTTCTGTAGCGAAGTGAGCCTTTTGATTGGTCACATACAAGGCCATATACCAGGAAACGTTGACGCAATCATTAGCAACCTAACACCTCCATATACTATGCCTCTCATTCATTTTTTCCTAATTTAAATATTTCCTGTCGTTTGCTATGGTTTAGCTGACTAACTGCAGCCAGACGCTTGTCGTTTGGTGGAATTTGGAATCACCCATCCTTTAATTCGGATGGAGGTCAGATCTTTAATTTTATTTGGACGAATATGATCTATAAGTTTTGTATATGTAATGACTTCAACTGCCACTTTAAACAGGTAAGACCAATGGCGATCAGTAAGCACTTATCTGGTTTATCAATCAACATATCCGACAGCAGCAGAGTTGTGCGTTTTTGTCATGCAATTCAAATTCACAGAACTTATTAAAAGGTTTTTTATGCCTGTTACTTCCTTCACGCAGTTATTTTATCCGTGGTTAAAAATAGCCTGGTCCAATGAGCAGATTTCTACATCTTAACAGACGAAACTTTACCTAACCAATCGAGTGTCGCCCATCCTCTTAAATACGGGCTTAATCTTACTACTATGGCACTCCCATCCCTTTGTTCACAAAAACCTGTGATAAATGTTAGGAAGATTTCTGTTATTATTACATAGCAATTTCTCTCTCTCACATAATAACGTGTTACATTACGGTAAATAAGCATCTACGATATCATACTATATATCCAGTTACACCACCGATTTTGAAAGTGCATAGAAGTTAAAAGGGAAGTTTTGAAAGATGATTCTAATCCGTGATATATACAATATCGACATAACATAGGACAGCATCTACACATAGGAACTTTTGTTAACCCAAGGGGTTTGCTCAGTCGTGCGTGTCAACCGATCTATCGACTTCCTAATTTGTGTGATTGTCAGATCATGGGATAGGTAAGCATTGTGTCCAGTCTCATTCGGTCTTTGCCTGGGAAAGGGTTTAGTTAATGTTTAACAATTACGTCGTGTCAATTCCAACACAGCGTCTATACACAGACAAAATTAGAAACAAATGTTCTCTCTTGAACAACGTCACAGAGGAGATTTGGTCTTCACGTTTTTTTTTCATCTAAACCACCCATGCTTATTTCCTATTTCTACCCACTCTAGATCCGTGATGCTTTCAGCAGTCTATTTACGTCCTTTATTCCGATTTAATCTGATACCTACAATAGCTGTGTGTATCAGCTCAAGGCGTTCGACGTCTACCTTCTGATTAGAGTTCAGGGGATTCCCCTGCCGACCCGATAGTAGCAGTGAATCAGATAGACTCATCATTCACCAAGACCAAATCGTGTAGTACTTTAAGAACCAATTATAGAATACTTAAACATTTATTTTATCGAGACAAGATGTTGTATATATATTTGTAAATGACGAATAACTGCATGCACATAAAAATCCTATAATTATTCAAAAGTAATATATCATTTTTTAGATGTTAAGTGATTTAAAAGTACTTTGTTACAAAACGCGTGATGTTACTTTTACGAGTGTACATTAGTTGTACAATACTGTACCTATTTCTACAATGAAACTGATTTTTTTGTTTGTTTGTTTGTTTTGTTTTGTTTTTGTTTTTTTTGTTTTTTTTGTCTTGAAAAAATTCTTATTGTTTCTTATGTACATATGATGATATTAAATTCACCAAACTTGAGACAAACAGCAAGTAAACACAAGCTAGATGTTTATGTGAATGTTGATATCAAACAGATCAATATTGAAAGGAGGTTTTGGGATTTAAAGGGACCTTAAGTAGGACAAGACGTGTTGTTGGAAAACTTCAGTGAGTGGGTATATCTATGTGGTTCGAGTGTTAAAATAAAAGTAGACATCTGAAGTACACAAGTTTTCAGTGGGCAAATGGGGTAGTCGGCGAGAGAAGAAAAAGTGTTAACCGTAATAGGATTCATAAATACATGCCTGAATCTTACGCAAACTCATTAACTAATGAGTAAAGAATGGGTGTGTTTTTACTTTAAAAAACTGATTGTGCAACAGTCAACTGTTATACGTAAAGCCTTTCCTGACAAAGTCTTTCAAAATAGGTATGGAAGAAAGCAGATTGAGCACAGTCGTATCACAAGACATAACGGAGTACTGCTGCGGTGGGCTGCAGCCACAATATCCGGGTCAGTGTGTAGTAGTCATTCTCCAGGAACATTCCTACGTATAGCTGTTGCGTGAAGGTGAAGGCCACAAATGACGCGTCATCAAAAACCATAACGTCCTAAAATAGATTTCCGAAAACCAGCTAGAGGTGGTATTTAATGTTTGGCGCGGCATATACAGAATTCACAAGCTACTATAAGTCGCTGTTGTTAACACATATTGCACACTAATATTACCTCCGATATGGAAGTAACTGGTCAATTTTCTGTGGATGGACATCATGTCACAGTACATTTTACACGTGAACATTTAAGCTGGAGACAATCAACTGTTAAAAAAGAAGGTAACATTATATTTGTATTTTATATAAAATGTGTTTTTCTTTCAGAAATAAGAAACACGTGTAAATTAGATGATAATCTTTTATCATTCATCATTATGTTTTCCCAAGTTTTGACTATTGAAAATATTGTTATTTATGATTATCATTAAATATTTCCAATTTCTATGCGTATAACAAACGAAATCTTCTTCTCCAGTTTTAGTGGCGGCAGACAATATCCTTTCTTGTGCAACGAGAATTGATGTTACTGGCTTTGAAGTCATTTATGCCGCTAAGTCAAATAATTGTAAACTGAGAGAGACAAGCGTTGTATTCACCGGTCCTCCAGAACAGGTTCGGAGGTTTGCCGAGATTATTCAGCGGTATCTCACAGGTAAGACTTTTAACTCGAACTTCTATAATTCAATGGCTGAAATTAAATATCTCTATATCATAGTTCATGGTTTATATCTAATAATTCTTTCGTTTAATCTGTTGCTCCAAATAAAACCAGAATTTATTTTGGTTCATAATATTGTCTTAATAGTTATCTATGGAATTTGTAGCTAAATTCTGACTGTACGGTAGGTTCATAAGATATTGGAAAGTTAAGAAAGGAAAACACATACATCTTACAAACACCGTTTGTGTGTTTCTTTGTGCTCGTCTTTAATACAGAATTGTTTATAGGGATTACTTGTATCTTTTAGAGAGCAAGCGGCCCCGGAGACTTCTAATACTGATCAACCCCAAGAGCGGTAAGCAGAAGGGCTGTAGAGACTATGTAAACAAGGTGTTGCCTATACTAGAGCGGTGCGGGGTACAGGCGGACGCAATTGGTGAGCACACGTGTTATATAAATTTATCACGTACACTTATAAATAGATGATAAATATGTTTAAGTGTATTGTAAAATATGGATTCATTTAATATATTATCTTGAACCATGCACAGGACATACTCGAAGTGTATTTAATCTAAATCTGTGTCTGAACGTAAAATTACATAATATATCTAGGTGTAAATAGGAGATGATAAAAGGCAAGACTTATACTGTGATAATTGAATGCTAATGATGTGCTATATTTTCCATTCAGTGACAACAAAGAAAGGTCACCCGACAGAGATTCTCAGCGAATACGATATGGAAAGTATTGACGGGTAAGTACAGTGTAGTTACATTATACTGCAACGTTAGTGTAAAAAAAGTGACAAATATGTTGAGGTCAACTGGTCAAGGCGGTTTAAACGCATATACAGAATCATACACGCTGATACACTCAAACGGATTCAGTATATGGTTACAAACACTGTATAATTAAGTACTTACACAGACAATCGTTAAAAGCCTCGTTTACACACCTTACATCTGCTTTAGTCTCTCAGGTAGTTCAAGTGATACACATTTCCCATGACTGACCTGATTGTACAGGAAGATGATGATATACAAAAAGAATGACCCGAATACCTGTACAGACATTAGATGACTCACAACAGGGGACAAACCCACACGTCAGAATTAACTTAGATTTTCATATAAACCTCGTTTTTAAGGAAGGGATTCTTTCCCATATATCTTAATTTAAAAAAAATCATTACAGAATTGAGAGAAAAACAACATTTTTTTCATATGTATTTACAGAATTGTTGCGATGGGCGGAGATGGTTTCTACTGTGAATGTCTGAATGCCCTGTTAGTCCGAACTCAGACAGATTTTGGAGTTGACATCAACGACAGCACAGCGGAGTTAGTTTCTCCCGCTATTCCTATCGGAATACTCCCCGCAGGTACGTCATACAGCGTCTACTGTGTTGGAAAATATGACGAAAAGTTCCTTTAGGACAGTTTGTCTATATGATATCTTAGTGATGCGTAACACACTTCATACGCAATAATGATGAATCATGTGATCTTCTCCAAATTTAAATATGCATTCTGTTATCTTTGATGTTGTTTGTGACCGTTCTTTAATCACTTGTTGTCTTTTCGTATCTAATTTGTATTCAGTATTTTCTTTGTGCTCCCTGACTCTTTCTGTTTCATTTCATAGATCCTAAAATGTAGAAATAACTAAAACCATAGCGTGTTCTATGAGGTGATTTATATTTTATGTGTACCGTATTATTGATTTCAGGAACAGGGGATTATGTGATGCAATACTTACACGGAACAAGATGCCTCGTCACGGCAGTCTTGAGAATTTTAATGGGCAAATCCGTCAAAACGAACTCGGCAAGCGTTCACGAAGAAAACCGATGTTTAGCTCATTCCAGTCTCGTTTTAGGATTCGGTCTGTTTGGGGACATGATGCACAACTGTGAAAAGTACCGCTGGATGGGATCGAACAGATACAACAGTAAGTTTTATCAATTACATAAAACGTATTCAACAAGAGACATATATAATAACCTCCAGGAGTTGCAATTTGTACCGGAAGTAGGTGTAAAAGTTTTTATATTGGCCAATGTCAGTAAGTTATGTGGGTTGACAATTAATTGTCTACTACGAAATTTGAATAAAACCTCTTGAAACTGTTTCAGTATAGCGTAACCTTTCTGTTACAGTCGTCCCAATTGCCTCGGTTCTCCGGAGACGGACAGTGGACGTTGAAGTGGAATACCTTCCTGCCAAGACGTCAAAGTCGGAACTGTGTACAAAGGCACAAACATTCAGGCGTCAAATTTCATTACCAGCTGGAGGAAGCAAAGTGTCGGCGATGCCTCGTATGAGAAGACAATCTTCCGTACCAGACATCCTCTCCAACAACCAAAACGGTAAGTGAACGTCATGTAGAAACCGTCACAGATAAATCTTATCCCGCAATGTATTTTTTAAATGGCGCTCATTTATAACGCGACCTCGTTTATCAAATTTCAAAATGATATTTGAATATTTTTTTTATACCTTTACAGAATGGCAAAAGACAACAGGTCGTGTGTACGCAGTAGACACCCATCCAATAGTGATGGCGGCCAAAGATGGGCGCATGCGCCCTTGCTTTGGTGCTGACACCTTAACCATGACCATCACGGACAAGTGCAACATATCTAAACATCTACAGCAGTTGTCACTGGTCAACGACGAAAAACCAGATTGTGTAAGTATGATGTCGGTCAATATTATATATATACAATTGTATTACTCGATTCTGATCTGCTTGTATTTAAAAGCATGCTAATTTTATTTCGTGATTTTGAAACGTTCATATAACTTATTATTTATTTCTTTTATACAGTACAATTTTGAGTTCGTCAGACAAATGAAGGTGGAGGCCTTCAGAGTTCGTCTCTCCAACACGCCTGTCCAGACAACGGAATCAGGACGAAAGGAACTGGAGAAGAATTTCTTCATCAACTGTGACGGAGAAGCGATCCGTTTAGCCACTCCACAGTTTGAAGTGAGGTAGGTTTATCTCGGTGAAGTCTAATTTTCGAATCAAGTGTATGACAACTCAAATTATATTTTCCCAATTTGTGCCCAGCAAGTGAAATATTTCCAATAGTCTGTTTAATTCACGCAATCATAAACAATTTAATACCAAACGTTATATAATTTGTATGTGTCGTATGCTTTCAGGTTCCACAGAAACATAGTGTCACTGTTTGGATCACCACCAACATGAATGGCCTGTAGACATGGGTGAACGCCCATGGGTATGTTGTTAAAAAAGTGCCCTGTCACTTGAATTGGATGCCATCAGCGTCCGGATCTACCTTCCAGTCAAGACCCGTTTGTGGCTAAGGGAAGAAACCGTGCCTTCCGAACCAATGAACACTGACTGTATCTTTGAGAGTCGACACCAGAAACGTTGTATACAAGACCTGGTGAACCATCTCTCGCAGAAGCTTAGATCGCCATGGAGTACGTGTACTGCAAACATGCGTTTTCGTGCAACTGTTGTCATGGATACCCATTTAATAAATAATGTTGTTGATGTTATTAAAATGTTTAAATCTATAAACAGTGTATGTTTCTTGTAATTTTATTTAAGAAAAATAAAATGCAAAGAAGAAGGCTAAGAACAAATTTGTTACATGATGATTCGGAAATAGAGATTCCTTCAAAATAACTACCGGATGTCTCTATGAAAAGGCAGCATTAAGAATTTAACATAATGCATGGTTACCTCCATGTAACGCATAACGACTTCCTCAGGTTAAATAGTGCCGAGATAGATTATTTTAAGGGTGTTTGTACTTTAATAGTAACATTTGATTATTCGCAGGATAATATCATAATTCAAACATTCGACTCCAAAGCCTTGATATAAAGAAATTTGGATGTTGAAGTTCTCTGAAATATTATCACCGTAGGCCATCTTAATTACCGCTATGAATCGTTCAAGAGCTCTACACTGGCATACTAGTTAATCTGATTTATTCCACATAGGACGATACTATCTGCACATGCAGCGTGCTGAAACAAAAATCTTGATATCACGAAGACATCATTAAGGTATCCAGTTCAGGTGTTATTTGATATTGTAAGAAATACCTAGATAAGTTTTGACATTTCATATTTTTGGACTTTTAAAGTCTATAGGTGAAAACAGGTTTACATGTAAATACATGTAAATGTACATATGAGTATGCAGAATTTTGAAAAAAAATACGTGCTGTTGCATGTATAATTGTGCAGCAATACCTGGTGTTCCTTAGCAACCAACAAGATATCAGCGATTAGTTTGATCCTCAGGTCATCTCTTTAATTTGTCTCATGGTTAGCTTGTGTGATATGAAGTTAGATGTGTCTGATGCTCTTTAATTTGTCTCATGGTTTCCTTGTGTGATATGAAGTTAGATGTGTCTGATGCTCGTTAGTTTGTCTCATGGTTTCCTTGTGTGATATGAAGTTAGATGTGTCTGATGCTCTTTAATTTGTCTCATGGTTAGCTTGTGTGATATGAAGTTAGATGTGTCTGATGCTCGTTCGTGTGTCTGATGGTTTCCTTGTGTGATATGAAGTTAGATGTGTCTGATGGTCGTTCGTGTGTCTCATGGTTTCCTTGTGTGATATGAAGTTAGATGTGTCTGATGCTCTTTAATTTGTCTCATGGTTAGCTTGTGTGATATGAAGTTAGATGTGTCTGATGGTCGTTCGTGTGTCTCATGGTTTCCTTGTGTGATATGAAGTTAGATGTGTCTGATGCTCGTTAGTTTGTCTGATGGTTTCCTTGTGTGATATGAAGTTAGATGTGTCTGATGCTCGTTCGTGTGTCTCATAGTTTCCTTGTGTGATATGAAGTTAGATGTGTCTGATGCTCGTTAGTGTGTCTGAAGGTTTCCTTGTGTGATATGAAGTTAGATGTGTCTGATGCCTTGTGTGATATGAAGTTAGTGTGTCTGATATGGTTTCCTTGTGTGATATGAAGTTAGATGTGTCTGATGCTTGTGTGATATGAAGTTAGATGTGTCTGATGCTCGTTCGTGTGTCTCATAGTTTCCTTTTGTGATTTGAAGTTAGATGTGTCTGATGCTCGTTAGTGTGTCTGAAGGTTTCCTTGTGTGATATGAAGTTAGATGTGTCTGATGCTCTTTAATTTGTCTCATGGTTAGCTTGTGTGATTTGAAGTTAGATGTGTCTGATGGTCGTTCGTGTGATATGAAGTTAGATGTGTCTGATGGTCGTTCGTGTGTCTCATGGTTTCCTTGTGTGATATGAAGTTAGATGTGTCTGATGCTCTGATGGTTCCTTGTGTGATATGAAGTTAGATGTGTGTCTCGTTAGTGTGTCCATGGTTTCCTTGTGTGATTTGAAGTTAGATGTGTCTGATGCTCGTTAGTTTGTCTTGCGGTTTCCTTGTGTGATATGAAGTTAGATGTGTCTGATGCTCTTTAATTTGTCTCATGGTTAGCTTGTGTGATTTGAAGTTAGATGTGTCTGATGGTCGTTCGTGTGTCTCATGGTTTCCTTGTGTGATATGAAGTAAGATGTGTCTGATGCTCGTTCGTGTGTCTCATAGTTTCCTTGTGTGATTTGAAGTTAGATGTGTCTGATGCTCGTTAGTGTGTCTGAAGGTTTCCTTGTGTGATATGAAGTAAGATGTGTCTGATGCTCGTTCGTGTGTCTCATAGTTTCCTTGTGTGATATGAAGTTAGATGTGTCTGATGGTCGTTCGTGTGTTTCATAGTTTCCTTTTGTGATATGAAGTTAGATGTGTCTGATGCTCGTTAGTTTGTCTTGCGGTTTCCTTGTGTGATATGAAGTTAGATGTGTCTGATGCTCTTTAATTTGTCTGATGGTTTCGTTGTGTGATATGAAGTTAGATGTGTCTGATGTTCGTTAGTTTTTCTGATGGTTTCCTTGTGTGATATGAAGTTAGATGTGTCTGATGCTTGTTCGTGTGTGATATGGTTTGCTTGTGTGATATGAAGTTAGATAGGTCTGATGCTCTTTAATTTGTCTGATGGTTTCGTTGTGTGATATGAAGTTAGATGTGTCTGATGCTCGTTAGTGTGTCTGATGGTTTCGTTGTGTGATATGAAGATGCTCATTAATTTTTCTCATGGTTTCGTTGATTTTAATACTGTTCTCATTTAAAACCATCAGAATGCTTACTTATGTTGACAAAAAAAATCAAAAGCACATATTTTTGATGAATAAGAAAGGCATGCACTTCTGAAATGCATTGTCTTATTTTTCTGGTACCTTTCAAAGAGTGTTATTCATCCTTGAGTTCGAGAAAAGAATTTGTTGATATGTCGATACATTTTTGTGCCCGTAATAGATAGTCTGAGTTTAGTAACAATTTATTCTGAATCCTTGCCAAAGCATATTGAAAAAAGAAATGAAAAAATCTGCTCAAACGCAACTGGATGAAACCTACCACTTTCATTTGGTGTTTGAGATATATAATAAAAAGATATTTCAGGTGTTTATTGGATAGTGTATCTAAATGACTTCATAAAATATACGTCCAAGTCAAAGAAGACATATACCGAGGACGAAATCATCGAAATGATCGAGATTCCTGTTGACAACATCTTCGTCGAGTTTGGTGGTAAGATCTTCCAACGGACTATTTAAATAGCTATTGGAGTAAGAACCTCTGTTGGCTGACTTGTTTTTGTTTTCATACCAGGCTGAATTTATTGAAGAGCTTATCAAAGCAGGTCACAAAGACCTTGCAAAGTCGTTTAAGTACACTTTCAGATATATTGATGACGTCCTGTCTTTAAATAATAAGAAATTGTCGATGTTGACTTGGATCTTACTTGGTTGCACGTTATGTGTACTATTCAAACAAAACACAATAAATCTTGCAACAAATCATGCATATGAATGAGAGCCATTGATAATATCTAGGTTTCAACGTTGTAAGTATGTTATGTAAGGGGACTTTAATATCACTTCACCGACATACTATTCCGTAGCTTCAATGTTAATTAGCAATAGGATCGGTAAGCGTGTACTTGGAATACAGGAAAATAAATTGGGTTATTTCTTTACTATCAAATAACAGTCAAAAACCGTGTAAGAAATAAGACAGGTTCACTAACAATATAAGTTGAAGATATTAAATTTAGAAACAAACAGGTGTAGGGTATGCACTTTCCTGAAAATATATTTCGTCGAATATCTTGAATGTTAGGTAGACTACTACAGGATATAAAATGATCCCGGATAACCTACCCTTTCACGATAATAAGGAAATTAGAAAAAGGAAAATAAATATTCTTTTGTCCTTTATTTGGATTTCGCCTACACACCATAGCGTGGTACATGCTCTGGTGCTATCGTAAAATATATATATTAAGTTCAATGCGCTGCTGTAAACACGAAACAGTTTTTTTTTACAATTTACTAACTTGCAAATATGTAACTTCATAAACAATATACACGTATATGGACTAACCATCTACCAGTTGGGCTAGCCGTTACTTCTTACTGAATACTGTTCAGTATTGCTTATTGTGTTTTAGTTCGATCATTCACCATAATGCAAATTGGTGGTTAAACGTCAATAAAGGGATAATTGATTCCAATTACGTCACATAGGTTAGCTCAGCAAAAAACCTTGACATTTACACGTTTCCTAGATTATATTACGATAATAGTAAAGTATGTATATATCTCATGTGCTATTATAATACAAACGACATTTTAGTATATTTTAGTCTATTATGATAGTGACTCAGTGAATTTATCTATTGACTTGCTACTACAACACTTGCTACTTTTGATTTTAGGTATTGCCTTGGCTAGCCTTGTTTGGCCTGTTTTTTGGTATCGACAATTCCCTTGCGCTAACGGAAACAGGAAACCGATTGTACCAGGTCCTGAATTTAATCAAATGTTGATGTCGACATATATATTAGCGGACGCAAGTAGTTAAGAACTCACAAAACCCTGGATACTGCTTGTAAAGTAAAGACTGGCCTTACTGACAGACACTAACACTTCATACATATAGATAAGACCTGGTAAATATAGGGCATGCATAATTGACCATCATAATATCTATCAAAATATTTTTATTCTTTCGGAGTTAAAACAATTTATATCTGAATGACAAATTAAGTTTAATGTAGAATGTATTTATGATGATTTCAATGAAATTCGAGCTCTCGTTACTGACATTGGGATACTGCTTGATGAGGAATAGAAATGGTTATAAGAGATAAGGAATTAATTATTAAGATCTCAAGCGCAATACGCGTATAATAACTTATTGTTGTTAACAAAATACAGGAATATTTCAAAGTGTGGAACAAAGAATTGAAATAAATATATTAGATTTTGAAATAATGAAGAGAAACAATTAAACGGAGAAAATCGGTTCTTAAAGAAAGATTTCATGGAAAGCTCTGAAAAGGTACAGGAAGAAAAAGATCAGGTCATTTGGAAAGGCATTCAACTTCATCGACAATACCTGCTATGATCTTATCCTGAAATTCGCGAGAATAAGGAAACGAAATCACCAGGTTTACCTTTAAAAATCCCCATAGTCCTCACCAACCT